AAATAATAGTTATGTTTTATTTTTCCGTTTTTCTTCACTCTTGAGAAATAATAATATAAATAATTAGAATAGATAATAATAACTTAAAAAAAGAATAGCATATAAACAAGAAAAATAATTGAAAAAATTCAATAAATTTATTTGTGGCATCTACTTTTAAACAGTTTTCCTTATTTAAGGTGAAGTAGATATTAGATGGTTACCAAAGATAATGACTTAAAATGCACCTGGAAGTGCACTAGATTAGAGAATATTTTTTCATATCAAATTAGAACAAGTTATCATTATGTATTATTTAAATTTCATAGAAAAAATCTCTACTTTTAAAAGTAGCTAAATATAGAGTTAACTATAATTTATATTCAAAATTTGAACAGTTCTTTTCTTGTTTTGGATTTTTATTTACATGGCTGGCTTTTAACATGCCTTTTCTCTTTGCTTTATGATTGTAAAGGTTTTCTTAAAGGGGTATTGGAAAAGGAATTATCCCTATTTTGATATTCTGCTTGTATGGTTTCATCCCTAAATTTATTTTTTTTTTTGGAAAATAAATTATTGTTCATGACCTATTCTGCCCTTCTCATTTTATAGCAGCTGCTTTTGAGTTCATTGGCACAAACTGCCTGGTGATTAATTTTCAAGAAGGTATTTAGTTTGGAGAAAAGATAAAATATAGGGAAAAAAGGTAGAAAGATAAGGGGCTTTAGTCGTCTTACTTAAAAGGTGCTTGAGAGGTCACTAATTCAAAAAGTCATGAAAAATTTTAAACTCAAAATGTAAAAATTAAAATAAAAAATTCTTTTGTTGTGTCACTGATTTTAACAAAGGTTTATCCTAGTCAACATATAATTTCCTTAATTGCCCAAAAGATTCAAACTTCAGATTGATTGGACCAAATAAAAGTTGGATGGCTTAAACGCACATCTGACACAAGTTAAATGGCTAAATCCTGCTTTATCCTTATTGAGTTAAATTCAATGTTGAAGACCGTATCGTTAGGCAAGTCAAGGACTTAACCATTCAGGCTAATTTTATGTAGTGTCAGTGACATTGCTTTTCTTCTTATTAAATACACTATCCAAGAATAATAAACTGTGTCCTCCTTTCTGTAACCGATCTCAATATTTCTCTTAGTGTTCTTTTTTCTGGTATTCTCAGGTATGTCTATCAAAGCTATGTATCAAAATTTGTCATAAAAATCGCAATCTCCCATTATAGTGTATTGTGTTCCTTGACATATTCCCTATATATTAGAATATTATTCTATCAAAGCCAGTTTATTTTTTTGAAGTTGAGTGGAGATCGGTTCTTCTTTTGACTGTCTAGGTTGACTCTTAAGAAAATTTATTCCCTTTCTCATTGGAAGACTTCCTGGCTAACTTTCCTGGTAGTATTCAATTGAATTCTGAACAATGGAAAGATCAAGTGCCGTCCCCTTGTTGATCATGGTTGCATTGTACCTTAAGGAGTGAACCTTCAATCCTGTATCTCACGTAGGAGAAGGTGCTAACCAAAAAAACTTCCCTCAAGAGTTTCTTATTCCTTGAGATTACTTGCAATGAATGCAAATGCTAAATCATGCCATTCAGCTTATTTGTAACGCATAGAAGTTTGTTTTTTAAATGAAGGTGCTAATTTTTGTGTTAATTCTGAAACTCAACAAGATTACTTGATCAAAAGCTTCTTAGGCATGATGCCTCTCATGCTACTTTTTGAAAAACTGATTTAATCATGATTATGTGCTACAAATATCTCAAATATTTCCTTTTAACTTATGAAAGGCTCTAATTGTAGAAGTATGTGATTTATTATTATTTTCTCCTACTCTTTTTAACTAAACTAGGTGTAAAAACTATGAGCTAATGCCAAATCATGTTATGAGCATGTCAAAACTCAAGTAAGTTACTTTCCAATTACGCTTAATTACACATTTGGTATCCAAACCATTGTTAAATTGTTGATTTGGAGCTTGAAGAAATAAATTCTCAAAGTACTTCAGCTTTCATTCTGATAAACAGATTGTACATCTCACTAAGTTCGTTAGTCAATTGGGTGATGTGGCAAAAAAAAGAAAACCTATATTAGACACATGGCGCATATTGGCTGTTTTTCTTTCCTTTCCACGTTACCCATTATACTAGTGAAGTTAGTCTCATGTGCAAACTAATAGAATCAAAGTTTGAGTACTTAGTTGCTAATTTTTAAATTTAGGCATCAAACCGAATATTTGATTATAGTTTGAATACTAAATTTGTAAATAACTCTTCCAATTGTATAGCTGATTCTACAAGTAGATTTTCACAAGAATTTCTGTCGTGAATTGATCAAAGGTAAAAGGAAGATACAGTCTTATAAATAAAATGTTTCCTAAATGAAAACAAGAAAACTGAGAAAACTGTTTATCTGTTTTCCCTTCTCTGTGTAAAGTTGTGATTTGTCATAGTTCCAATCTTTAATTTGTTGTGCTTTGGTCCACGATGTTGGAAAAGGAGGGACATGTTTAGTCTAATATACTTGAAACGTTATAGAAAAATGGGTGAATTGAAAGGGGGAAAAGAAAGTAAATTTGTTACTAAAATATATCGATGTACTTGCCAGAAGTTGAGCCATAATAAATCGCGGGGAAATTGCAAGTGTTGTTTGCAATGGGAATGTTAATTTGAAGGGCATAACTTAAAGAGCAGGACTCCCAAGTCACATCTTTTTCTGTCTAGCTATGTTCATTGAAAGAATGTCAAGAGGTAATCCTAGTTAGTGAATTGATTGTAAGTGAAGCAAATTTGAATCCAAAAATCAAGCCAACTTTGACCTGATTTTAGTGGATATCCACAGGACCAAAATTTAGTTTGTGTACCCGGAATCTGCCTACTCATTCTTCTTAGGATTTTCAACCTGATGCTATATTTGTTTTTATGTCGCTTTCAGATCTATATATTATTATTCCTTTCTTTTTTGGTATCTTCAATTACCTTTGAGAACCATTTTGGTATCGTCAATTTGTTCAGGCTGGTTTTCAGAAGTTCAAGTTCTGCAATGGACTGGGTCCAGAGAAACAAATACTTCCATCTCCTTTCCCAAGGAGTCGAACGCGATGGTTGGAGATTTGTCCTTCTTGCACGATTCTCTCCCATACCTTCGTATGTCATCAATTATGCTCTGGCTGCCACAAAAGTTGGATTCGTAGTGGATTTTCTGCTCCCTACTGTTATTGGCTCTCTGCCAATGATCTTGCAGAACACTTCCATGGGCAGCCTTGCTGGTGCTGCTGTTGCTTCAGCATCTCGCTCTGAGAAATCAGTGGTTTGGTCTTATATTTTGCCTATACTTGGGGTTGTATCAAGCATTCTTATTTCATTGAAGATCAAAAAGTATTCTACTGATATTACCTTGGCCGAATCTTCTTCAGGTGATCACATTAACAGCTCTAATGTAGTTAACTCATGTCATTCTTGTAATGGTAGAGAAGGAAGCAATGGCCCGAAGAAAAGCCAATAATAGATATATATTACAACTATATTATAATTATTTTTTTCATTTGGTACAATTATTCTTCTCTTGGTCTTTGGCATCATTCATTGTTCACATCTGTGGGCAAGGTAATTTCGTGTTATTTTTGTGTGATGTCTCTTTTAAGGTTCTGACTCATGTTGTCCCTCTTCATCATTTTTGTTTGTTATGAAAGATTCTGTGGTACTTCTAGATTTTATCGGAAGCTTGATTAGAAGATTTGGAAGTTTTGGAAAATGAAATGAGTGACATTGATGATAAAATAATCTCCATGGGGTGAACTAATTAAATCATTACAAGTTTTACCATGTCTATACTTGATGAGGGTGTATGCATGTGGGCCTCGTTCACAGAATAGGGAAGGAAGACCGAGGCAAATACAGGTTTGCACACCATGCATCCACAGCCGGACCCACTCGATGCACCAAGTCCTCTGCATGGTATTCATTTCGACGGTCTCGTCTGTGTGTGTGTATGACCAGTGTGCTTAAAATGCAACTTGCTGAGTGACATTTGGTTATCAGTTCCCTTTGCTTCTATCATCTCAAGGGCCAGTTTAACAATAGTCACTGAAATTCTTCTCTGGCTAGTCTATTAAGGGTGTCGTTCGGTGCAAAACATTATAAAAAATGATAAACAAAGTGGATTCAATTAGATGATATTATCTTCTTCGGTCTTTGGTATGCGTATGCAACAAATAAAAGCAAGATATGGTGATTTTTATCCGACGCCATGTTTGACTTCAAGATGTGTATACGCATGATTAAATGTAAGATAAAGATGATTTTGTCTTTCATTGTAGATAATTGTGACTAAGTACAAATTTCTTTTAGTATTCGCATCTTTTACTAATCATGCCACAGTTGTCGGGTTCTGGAAAGCAGCCGGCCGTGGTAAGATCATCTATGGTGGGTTTAGAAGGAAAAACTTAATTAAGATCATTGCAGGATCAGGGTTTGGTCATTGACGATTGTATAAATTTTGCCAGAGTTGGCACCACTGGATTCAAGCTTGTAAAACCATAACCTCAAACAAGACATTGAAGCGTAAACTTGCCTAGAATATTTATTAATCTTTTTTTTCAAATATTTTCCAGCGTAAAAGTAAAAAACAACAATAAAAAGACAAGAAAAAAAAAACAGACTTATTCTTCCTTCTTTTTAATAGATAGCACGAAATGTTGTAATGTTTTTGTCGAAACCACCAAGTTCGATTTTGTAAGAAAAATAGAGAGAAACTTACTGCTAGAGACCATCTTATGTAGTGTGGGAACATTAATCGAATTTGGAATCGCTAGTTTCCCGATAAATGATAAGTAAAAGAAAACGAACATGGGGAAGAGAAGGGAAAAAGCCATTTGAATCATAAACCAAAACCAACCACTAAAATAAAATAAGAGAAAGAAGGCAACACGACTCAAGAAAATCAAGAAAAGAAAATAATTATTTAATTCTAATCTCATGCAGTCTTAAATTCTAAAAATAAAATTTAAGTAAACTTATAAACCACATGCCCACTGTAGAAGGAAAAAAATTATCAGCCAAGTGCCGCCATGTGGATTTAATAATATTTTAACCATATAATTAATTACAAAATAATTAATTTATTGGTTAGATTATTTTAAAGATATATAGTTGAACCAATTCACCTATTGGTATATATTTACCCCTTGAGATTATTTGAAGATAATATTTAAATTAGACCAATCAAAAATTAGTTATTGGTCATCCAATTTATCTCTAAATAAATCAAAATAATTTAGAGATAATATTTATATTTTGACCAATCAAATATTAGTTATTGGTCATCCAATTTATCTCTAAATAAATAAAAATAATTTGGAGATAATCTTCGTATTTTTGAACAATCAAAATTTCATTATTGGTCATTTAAATTATCTCTAATAATTATATTAATTTAGAGATAAAAATCAAATTAGATTATTTAATTTATTTATAAATAAATTAAGATAATTTGGAGATAATACCTAACTTCGGCCAATCAAAATTCAAGGACTTAAAGTCCGACCAACCAAAAGACTTTCAATGAGTCATCATAATTTATCTCTAAATAAATTAAAATAATTTAGAGATAATTCAAAGAGATTTCATTTTCATCAAAGTCACCCACTTAGCATTATAAATAAAGGGCTCCTTCAAGCCATTTTCATTCATTCGGAAGCATTCTAAGGTTGGGAGGTATTCGAAGGTTGAGGGCATTTCAGAGATCAAGAAGTAGAAGATTTTTGAAGTGAAGATCAAGCGGTAACAAAGTTCGTGATCTAGATCAAGTCATGAAGACCCTTGAAGCAAAGATCAAGTGTTCGTGATCAAGATCAAGTCGTGAAGACCCTTGAAGCAAAGATTAAGCGAAGTTCACAATCAAGATTAAGTCTAAGTTCGTGACTCTTGAAAACAAAGTTAAGAAATTAATCAGAGGAATTTTCAAAGATTATCACTCACATCATCAAATATTTGTACTTGTCTCATAATTTTCAAGTCAAGAAATTTTGATGAGAAATTTGTGTGTACAAAATTTCTGTTACACCTAGTGGGACGATCTCTGCCTCTCATCTTCTTTCTTCAAACAAATCTCCAAATCTCTCCAAGTTGAAATGGCTCCTAAGAAGAATCTCGTCAATAAAGTTGCTATCAAGCCTACTAGAGCGAATCCTACAGTTTTTCCTACTTCATCATCAAGCACAGATGTTCCAACACATCCATATGGTACTCGAAGAAAGACATAGGCTCTTACTAAATTGTATGAGCAAACTCTCCCAGTCCTCAACTAAAATCCTTTGTATGATGCTTCTTCCCCAAGTTTTGAAGAAGTCTCTACTATGCAACATGCTTTCTCCAAAGGATCAAGTACCAATCAACTCAAAGAACATGATGGCTATTCAAGCAGTAGCTCTATTTCATCATCCCCTCGCCAAAGTTCTTCGTCAAATGTAGGCTTTGGAATGATGGTTGTCATGACAACTAGAACAGCATCTTTAGAAAAACAAGTTGCGCTTCTTGCAAAGATTGTGGAATCTCTGACAACATGCATAAAAGAAAAAGATGAACAAATTACCTCAATGATTGGTGAAATTAGTAGCCTTACTAGAAAGGCACCAATGGATCTTGGTTAAAATCAACACCAAGATAATGAAGAGAATTCCACTACGGAAGTGGAAAATAATCTCCAACAAAAATCTAATGAAACGGTCACCACTAATCAATTAAAGGAACTTATCAAAGAAGCCATCAAGGAACAGGTGGAAAGTGTCACTCAACCTTCATACACATACGCAAAGCCATACTATCAAAGGATAGATCGCATAAGGATGCCGCCAAACTATTAACCACCAAAGTTCCAATACTTTGATGGTAAAGGAAATCCTCGTCAACATGTTGCACACTTCATAGAAACTTGTAACAATGCTGGCACTTATGGTGATCTTATAGTGAAGCAGTTAGTTCGCTCTTTAAAGGGCAATACCTTTGATTGGTACACAGACTTAACGCTTGGGATGATTGATAATTGGAAGCAATTAGAATGTGAGTTCCTTAATCAATTTTATAGCACTCGACGTGTGGTGAGCATAATTGAACTCACAAGCTTGCGCCAATGGAAAGATGAGCCTGTGATTGATTATATCCATAGGTGAAGAAATCTCAGTCTCAATTGCAAAGAGCGATTGTCTGAATCCTCAACTTTTGACATGTGCATCCAGGGAATGAATTAGGGATTACGCTATATTCTTCAAGGTATTAAGTCTAAAACTTTCGAAGAATTAACTACTCACGCTCATGACATCAAATTAAGCATGTCAGCGATTGGAAATCAGGGACCTCTAGTGCAATAACCAAGGAAGGGTAAGCAAGATGTATGTAAAGGGGGTAAAGCTTTGGCAGATAAGGGTGAAGGTAAACAGTCTATAACTGTAAATACTAAACCCATCAAGGTGACTACCAATCCAAAAAAAACCCAAAAAATGAAGCTCGATCCCCAACAGGATAAAAAGAAAGTGTCTTTAAAAGAAAGACAAGGAAAAAGTATCATTTCCCTAACTTAGATATTGCAGAAATGTTGAAAGAACTTTTAAAAGCTAAGCTCATTCAATTTCCAGAGATGAAGCGACAAGAAAAAGCTGATCGAGTAAATGAACCCAACTATTACAAGTACCATCGTCTAATTGGTCACCATGTAGAAAAATGTTTTGTCTTAAAAGACAAAATCATGGGTTTATACTAGGATGGGAAAATTGAGTTTGAAAAAGAAACAGCTACAACAAATGTAGCATCAGCAACTAGCATGCTTTCTCCACTTAATGTGTGGAGCAAGATAAAGTTCGGATCCTTCGACTATATAATGTTGGCACCAAATGGAGAGAAGACACCCAACCTTCAAGATAAAGGAGGCAAAGCTTGTGGTTCTACAAGTCAAGAGCCAGACAATGAAGGATGGATCCTAGTTACTCGTCAGAGAAGAGGAAAGAAAAGTCCTCCCAAAGACAAGCAAGCACCAAAAAGATCCAAAATGGTGAAACAGCCATTTAGGAAGATGATGCCCAAGATAACGCCTAGAAAAATAAGTATGGCCAAGTGTGAAAATTCGATGGTGCAAAGGCCTAGATGACTAATCACCTTGAATGATTTCATGCCAATGCAATTCAAAAATCAAAATCCAATTCCCACATCATGTTTCCGAATTGATAAAGATGTTGGGGATGAAGAAAAAATTAAGTTCGATTCTAATTCTTCTTATGGTGTATAAATTACATTTCTGACGAAGACTTATTGTTAGGGTCTACCCCTCATAATCGACCTTTTTTTGTTCAGGGATATAGTCGTGAACAGAAGATCAATCGAATCCAAATAGATGGTGGATCTACTATCAACTTACTCCCACTAAAACAATGAAAAAGCTTGGACTACCTCTCGATGAATTATCGAAGAGTCGCTTGATG